GTTGCACCCTTCTCCCCGCACAAACCCCTCCCCCCTCCTCCCCCTAAAATTTCAAAATATTTTTAAAAGATTGATTCAACCCCTGAGTCTCATCTTCAGATAAACAATGGACAGGCCTAGAAAGTAAACAATAGCATCAAGGAGGGCCTCACTCCTTAAATAATAAGCCACATGGGGTGTATTGTTTTGTATTGTGTTCTCTGTTATGTTCCTCTATATTACGTTCTTCTGTGATGTGTTCTACTTTGTTGTGTTGTGTTTTTCCTTGTTTTTGTGTGGTGCTGTTTTTTTCATTGTGTTGTGTTCTTCTGTATTGTGTGGGTTGTATTCTTTGTATCAAAATCACAAATAGTATCTGACTAAATAACAACACCACAGATGAGCCGTGCTGACACATAATACCACTGATGGAAACTACTAGGTATAAGAAAACCCTGAGTATTGTTTCATACTACAGTATGTGAATAGAATTTCATTTTTAACAATTTTCATTTGCATGAAAGATCAAAATTCCTTTTGGTTCTTAGCAAAGAGTTGGAAACAGCCCAAGTGCCTATTAACAAACGAATGGATAGATAAGCTGTGGTATATTCACACAATGGAATATTATGCAACACTGAAAAACAAAGTTGTTGTTGTTTGATGCCATCGAGTCGAAGACAACTCATAGCGACCCTATGAACGAACAGCCTGAGCACTGTTCCTACATAGAGTTTCCGGAGGCAAGCCATTTCAGAAGTGGATGCTGCTCCTGCTTCTAGGCTTGATTTAGTCGGGAAGCTCCAGCCAACACTGTCCACCATGGGTACCCATTGGCACGATTGACACATCACTGTCACAGTCTTCAGCATCACAGCAACCACAAGTTACCTCTGTACAGCAACGCACAGACCAGTGCTATACCACCTACAAGAATGTTTGACAGGAAGACAATTTGAACCTGGCCAAGGGCCACAGATGAAAATCACCCACCTTCAGCTTGGTAACATAGCTTCCTTTCCACTAGGCCAACATAGCTTTCTCTTGGTTGTTGTCATTGGTGGACCCTGGGAGGAGCCAGCCAAACCAGGAACAACATGACTGCTTCCTTCCCAGCTGCTTTTGGGCTTAAGGCCGCCTCCTGGTTCAAACCCTAGGCCCAGGCTGGCCTTAAGCCCAAAGGCAGCTGGGAAGGAAGCAGCCATGTTGTTCCTGCACTCACACCACCAGGCTCCTTCCTTCTGGCAAGGAGAACTTCCCAAAACCCTGGGAGGAGACAGCCAAACCAGGAACAACATTGAAAAACAAAGAACATATGAAATATTATACAAAATGAGTGACCCTGGAGGACATTATGCTGAGTGAAATTCCGGTCACAAAAGAGAAATACTGCATAATGCCACTATTATAAATCAGAACTAACATGGGGCTTGGGGCAAACTAAGAAAGGAGGGGATAAATAATATACACAGCATTGAAATAGATAGGAGGGAGAACTGTATAAAAGGAATATATGATTAGGTATTATTGGCACAAGAGGCCAGAATAAGAGCTGCATAGTAAAGTGTTCAGGGGTGTGGGACTGTGTAATAATGAAAAAATTTTTTTCCAAAGAACAAAAGTTAACTTGAGGGGGGGGGGGCAGGGAGAAAAATGTGCAATAATGAATGAATGGAAATCTGATTTCTTTATAAACTTCATTAAAATCTCAATAAAGAAATCCTATTGGTTTTTCATTCAGTCATTCATGCACGTTTTGTTTTATAACATTGATTATAATTTATCAAAGTATGTGGTGAAGCCAGGTTGCTCTTTGGGGCAAGGATTCTGATTTTGTCTGACATACTTTGGGCATGTTACAAGGAGGGATCAATCCTTTGAGAGGGACATCGTGCTCAGAAGGGTGGAGGGATAGAGAAAGAGAGGGAGACTATCGATGAGATGGATTGACGTAATGACTGGGTTAATGAAAGTCGATGGGTCAGAGACAGTAAAGCCAGAGAGGAGAGAGCAGGTTTGAGGGCTCTTGTACAGAGGGTTGCTATGAGTCACAAGCAACAGGATGGCACATAACAACAACAACATACTGTTCGGTGTGTTTTTTTTTTAATTCTTTCTGAAGGAGGAATAAAACCCCATACTAATTAGCCAGTTATGACAGGAGCCTCAGAACCATTACATCATAATAGGAAATCATGACAACCACAGAAACCTCTGTCAGATAGACTTGCTTAAAGTAGTTTGCCAAGTGCTGTGGATTCAGTTGATTTCCAAAACTGGAAGGAAAATATGATGTTTACATGGATAGAAAAGAATGCTATGAGGGGAGGAAATCTTTCTGGGCTTTCCTGAAGAAGGTAATCTCTTTGTATACTGTGTTTAATCATTAAATTAGACTTGAGATCACAGTAAGCGTGTTCTCTTCCCTGTAAAATATGTGAAAATATTCTTCCCTACACTACACGCATTTTTCCATGGAAAAACTACTTGTGCCATTCAATTTCATGTTTCTGAACATATAAAACAGAACCTTTATTCACAGGCCAATTCTTGTCTCTGTGGAGAGAATTTTCTATAATTGGACAAAAATGTCTTCCCTCTTGTGAAAACTTTCTGATCTTTCAGTTATGATATTATTTATGATGGTAACATTGTCTTCTTATAATTTGGTGATAGCTTAGGCAAATCATATTTAAGATCATTTTGTTAGCATTTTTTTCCATATATATATATATATATATATATATAACCCTTCTTTATTGTTATTGTTGTTGTTAGGTGTATTCAAATTGCCTTCAACTCAACAATCCTGTGTACAAGGACTCTTTCAGAGCTAGTCTGACTGATTCAAATACACCTACCCTCATTACCCCAGTTACTGTATCAATCCATCTCATCTGAGTTCTTCCTCTCCTGTGTGGTTACTTCACCTTTCCAAGCATGATGTCTTTCTCCAAGGATTGGTTCCTACTGGCCCATGCCCAAAGTATGTGAGATGATCTTCAAAACACTACTCTCCTAGGAGAAACTTGGTTTCACTCTAACAGACCTATTTGTTTTTTGTAGTGGTCGATGACTCTTCTCAAACACCACAACTAAAAGGTATTGACCATAACCGCCATCCAAGCATATATATGCACATCCATGTTTATTGTGTCTTTGTTCGCAATAGCAAAGAACTGGAAGCAACCCAAGTGTCCATTAACAAAGGAATGGATAGAGAAGCTCTGGTATATTCACACAGTGGAATACTATGCAACATTGAAAAACAAGGAACTCATGTAATATTATGCAAAAGGATGATCCTGGAGAACATTATGCTGAGTGAAATATCTCAGTCACAAAAGGACAAATATGATATAGGGCCACTGTTATAAAATGGGACTGACATTGGGGTTGAGGAAAGTCAGAGGAGGGGAGGAATGATGTATGCTAGGATTGAAACAGATGAAGGAGAGAACTGTTTGAAAGGGATATATGATTGGGTATTATGGTCATGACAGGAGTCCAGAACCAAGGCTGAATAGTGAAGTGGACTTGGGGTAGGGACTGTATAACAATGAAGGATACTTTTTCTTTTCAAAGAGAATAGTGAACTGGGGTGGGGAAGGGGTGGGTAGGGCGAAAAATGCAACAATGAATGAATGGAAATCCAAAGTCTCTGTAAATTTTCAAAAAGAAAATTTTTAAAATTTTTATTGGTTTGCATACAAAAGGCATATACATGGTGTTTCAGTTGTTTACACTGTGTTCACACATTTCTTCATTCACATTGTGTTTTATATTATAATTCCCATATATCACGTTTTATAAAATGAAACCCAGTGATTCATGCCCACCACTACTTTACCTTTTCAGGTCCCACTGGATCTTTCCTAGTTCCTTCATCTCCTACAATAATGATCTGTGTAGTATTTGTCCTTAAGAGACTCAGTTCTCTCAAAGTTTGAAAGACAATATAAAACTTTTTAAAAAAGGATTGTGACTCATCTTTTCAGACAAATAATAGACAGGCAAAGAAAGTGAACAATAGCATCAAGAGTTTCTCAGTTCTTAGAACAACAAACCACATGTGTTCTCTTGTTTTGCATTGTGTTCTGTATTGTGTTGTGTCTTTTTATTTATTTTTGTGTTGTCTATTCTGTGTTGTGTTCTTCTGTGATTTATTTCCTTGAGTTTTGTTCCACTATGCTGTGTTTTGTTCTTCTGGTTTGGGTTGGGTTCTATTGTGGTGTCTTGTGTTCTACTGTGCTGTGTATTGTTCTTCTGGGTTGGGTTGTGTTCTACTCTGTTGTGTTGTGTTCTATTGTGCTGTGTATTTCTGTTTGGTGCTATGTTCTTCTGCGTTGTGTTCTTCAGTGTGGTGGTTTGGTGAGTGTTGTCCTAATGTGTTGTGTTGTTCTGTGTTCTTCTGCATTGTGTTGAGTTCTTCAGTGTTCTCTTGTGTTCTTCTGTATTGTGTTGCATTTTGTTGTATTCTGTTCTGTTGTATTGTGTTCTTCTGTCTTGTGTTTCTCTGTGTTGTGTTATTTCCTCATATCATCATCAGAAATAGTATCTGGCCAATCAATGTGACAGCCTGGAAAAGCCATCTTGATGCATACTACCATTGATACAAACGATACTGTTTTTTTTGTGTTATGCTTCAAATCCAGTTCCCCCCAAGTCACCAAGGAGCCGACACCGATGCAAGGGCAAGAGGGAATTTATTTCAGATTCGAATCCGGGCCGCATTCCAAACCGTGCCCATACAACAGGGAAGATGGCCGCAGCAGCGATTCTGGGCTGTCCTGCCTATTTAAAGGGGAAAGCCCACGAAAACAGGGTGATACAGGATTGGCTGATTTAAAGGAAGGGCGCGAACACAGGGAGATACAGGATTGGCTGATGTTTGGGTGGGGGCTCTTTTCTCCCTTTCCCCACCGCTTTCAGTTTACTGTTCTAGAGGCATATATATTTTAAAATGACATATTGGTTACAAAATGGAGTCCCTCATTCCCCCCCTTCTTCTGCACCCTAGCTCAATCATGAGCACTTTCTTCTTCGGTCGCTAGGTAATGGTATTGAGACCACATAACTATCAACTGGATTGTTCTTATCTTTTCTTTAACTAAGTTGAGTATTCTGTTAATTATACAGGGACCTAGAGTTAGGATAAGCATCAGGGCAGTGAGGGGTCCAAGGAGTGGAATAAGCCATTTACCCCAGGATGTTTTCCACCAGTTAAATAAATCATAGGCTTCTGCCTCAGACAGGCGCTTTTTAACAGATTCTTTTAACTCTCGGACTTTATTTTGGACTATGCCCGATGCATTCACAAAGAAACAACATTCTTCTCCTAGAAACTGGCACATACCTCCTTTCTCTGCTGTAAGCAGGTCTAGAGCTCGACGGTTTTGTAAGGCCACCCTGGCCAGAGAAGTTATCTGGGTTTGTAAGGCCAGGAGAGAGTCTACTACCTTGTCTATGTAACTGCTAATGTCCATAGAGAGTTTGTAATAAAAATGGGTGGCTGTGCCTAAGCCTCCTGCTCCCAGCCCTATAGCGGTCGCCAGGCTTCCTCCTATGAGCAGAGCTCCAAGTGGAAGAGCTCGCTTTTGGCGCCTTGTGGACAGGGTCATGGAGGTCATAGTGGCAGGGCTAAGAACAGTTAGGGGTGGGGTAAGGAACACTGGCGTACAGGGTTGTGTCTAGTTAGCAGGGAGACATCACATTAAAACAGAGCCATTACAAACAAAGAATATTCTTTTTTTCCCTATAATTATATTTTATTAATTTTCATAAACATTTACAGAGATTTGGGGCTTCCATTCATTCATTGTTGCACTATTCTCTCTACCCTCCTCCCAGTTTG